CTCCCGTGTTGTGGCAATGAGAGATGGGGCTGCCACCCCTCAAGTGCATGGTGAGGATGGGCACTTACTCCTGGAGTGGAAGGTAGAGTTTGGGGTGCATCAGGACTAGTAAGAAGCCGTCACTCAGGATGTGCAGGGGACACTTGGCATCATCTGTGAACAACCTGGGAGAGGAGCAGTGGCGGGTGGCTTGGCTGGTAAGGCTTTGTGGCTCTGTTCGAATCTGGATTGGCTGGAATGGGAGTTGGACAGATGGAGAAGCTCAAATGCAGACCACTGAGACCTAGTTCTACTCTGGAAGCCTGCAGACCTGGCCAAGGCCTTCTCTTTTCTGGGCCCAGTGTGGATCTCTCTCAAATGGGGAGAATACCCTGCAAGAGCTTTCGGCGCACATTGAACCCACCTGAATTCAATAGAAAGGTAAAGTTCAGAGGCGGAGTCTGGGAACGTGAGGTAGTGATCTCTCTGCTCCCTACCAGAGTGGTGGGCTCTGCGGAGTGTCCAGAAGCGTCTGCTCCCTTCTGAGGCCAGAGGCCCAGCAGCCCATGAACTTAGAGGAGCCTCATAGCTAACGTGCTTTGTGAGCCCTGGATGCAGGCTAGTGCCCCATCTGGTGCCCACTAAACAGCAAATTCTAATGCCAAGGAGAATCAGGCCTCTGGTGTGGAAAATTCTGGAGGGTTTTAGGAATGTCTTGGGTTCTGTGGAGCTTTCCTTTGGGCCTTCCAAGCTATGCCAGGCCAGGGAGGTAAGTAGAGGCAGCCTGAGTACACAGGCGTGCACCAGCTGCCAGTCCTGCCTAGTGATAGTCCAGCCCACTGTGTTCCTTGGAGAGATTTCTGTTGAGAGAGGACAGGTTGTGCAGGATGTCCACACCTTCCCCAGGATCCCAGCACAGGCATTCTGACCACACACTTTAAGATCTGATTCTCAATAGCAGGTCTGAAATGTCTGAGGACACAGGCCCCTCCTTAGGGCAGGGCTTCACCCCATTGTTCAGTCTTTCAACAAATGCCAACAAATGCCGCTGGCACCTGCTTCCAGCCAGCAGTTTAGACAGTCATTCAGCCACAGTACTTCATCATCATCATCACAATGGTACTGGGGATTGAACCCAGGGCCTTCATGCTGAGCTGCATGCCCAACCCTTTTTATTTTTTATTTCGAGACAAGGTCTTGCTAAGTTGCTAAGCTGCCTAGGCTGGGTTCGAACTTGTGATCCTCTTGCTTCAGCTTCCCAGAGCACTGAGATGACAGGTATGCACCACCACACCAGCTTTAGTATTTTTTTCTTTATTAAAGATTGGAGTCTCACTATGCTGCCCTGGATGGTCTTGAACTCCTGAGCTCTAGGTCTTTTCATTTTTCTTTCTTTTTTTTTTTTTTTTTTGAGACAGAGTCTCCCTCAAACTCATGGTGATCCTCCTGCCTCAGCCTCCTAGGTGCTGGGATTAAAGGCAAGTGCCCCACGCCTGGCCTTTCCTGAGCTCTATGATCCTTGCAGCCTTTCCTTTGAGTACAGGCAGCTGACGAGTATTTACCAGGCATTTAGTCTGCTGGGTCAGGGCACATGAGCAGTGCGGTTCCTGCCCTCATGCCTTTGCATTCTCGTAGGGAGGCCGTCAGCGACAGCACTGAGCAGCAGGAAAGTGCTACAAAATGTAGAAATTTGGTGCAAAGGGGGCACATGACTGTTGCCAGGGTCTGTTTCAGGCAGGCTCACCAGGGAAGGCCTCGCTGAGAGGCCTTTGAACTGAGACCTAAAGAAAGTGAAGGAAACAAGTTACTGACCAATCAGTCTGGGACAGCGAGGTCCACAGGGGCAGCAACACACGCAAAGGCCTTGCAGTTCTAAGCCTGCCGAATTTGTGAAACAGAAAGGACAGTGAGGCTGGGGCATGGCGGACAACAAGCAGTCCATGGGTAGAGCTTAGGGAGAGGAGCAGGCAGACAGACAGACAGACACACAGGACAGTAAGTGCACTGCTACAAGGCTATAGTAGAGACTTTAGAAGCATTGTGGGAGCTCAGAGGAAGGAGGGATTCCCCGGGAAATGGAAAGGAATTTCCAGAGGAGCTGTGTGTGAACTCTGCTTTCCAGGATGAGTTAAGTTCGCCACGCTGAAGACAGGAAAAGCCTTCTGGTGAGCCAAGGAGGGGGCCACGGGGTGGTGCTAGGGGGAAAGCAGGACTTTGAATGTCAGGGTGAATGGCAGGGTGAGGAGGTGCTCTTGAGGGCACTGGGGAGCACAGTGAGCATCAGAGGAGGGCAGGATCAAGCTCAGCCTGGGGGAAGGCTGATGAACTCTACCTGGCTGGGAGAGAAGCCAGTAGATGAGGAAGTTGACTCAGAGCGGTCAAGGGCCCTGCATGTGGTCTCACAACACACCCACAGCAATGCTGGGATTTGAAATGAGGCCCAGGGAGGGAGTGGCCTCCAACAAAAGGGTGTTTGGTGTTACTGTGCCATGTGGCTCCAGGACCCAGCCTGCACGCCTGGCCACTCTGCTGGGCAGAGGTCCTCGGAGTGGTCCTGGCGCACTGTGAGTACACACAGCGGGCTGTGTCAGCACCCACCGCTTCGTAATGGCTGTCCATTGCAGTCAGCCTGTGGCTGGCTGTGACTCTTGCCTAGCTGGCTTGTTGATTTCTCACAGGGTTTCCTCATGGTTCATTCTCTTTTTTTGCATAGCTCGGGGACATAGTCAGGGCAGGGTTAAGCTCTCTTCTTCACATGTATTTGTGTTTATGTTTTATGAGCCAGGATCTTGCTATGTAGTCCAGGTTGGTCTCAGTCTCATGGCAATCCTCCTGCCTCAGTTTTCTGAGTGCTGGGATTACAGATAACATACCACCATTCCCAGTTGTTTTTTACCTGGAGATACCTGAGACAGGGGTAATGGTGTGAGGTCGGGTTCTGGAAGACAGCAGGTGCACAGGAAATGTAGGGTTAGTGTTGCTGGTTCTAAAGTTCTCACTTTAAGGTCAGAAGCAAATGGCTATGTCAATGGGATTCTGTAGCACGCACTGGCCAAGATATTATTATAATTTTTGGTACTCAGGACTGAATGTAGGGAGCGCTATACTACATCCCTATCCCATTTAAACTTTTTGTTTTTTTAAAATTTGAGACAAGGTCTTGCTAAATTTTCCCTGCTAATCTAGAATTTACATACTCCTGCCTTAGCCTCTTGAGTGGCTAGGATTCTAGGCATGAGTGCAATAAGAGATATTCTTATTCAAAACTCTCAGAGTTTCAGGGTGTGCTGGTACATGCCTATAATCCCAGCACTCAGGAGGCTGAGGCAGGAGACTTGCTACGAGTTCAATTCCAGCCTGGGCTACATAGTGAGACCCTGTTTTAAAAAAGAAAAAAATCTCAGCATCATAAATTCATGGATCTTTTGGGTTGGAAGATGGTTTAAGAGTTATCGGGTCCCCTCATTTCTGTGGATTCAGCTTCAGCTCTACCATGAGGTGCTGTTCTTCTGCCTGGGTTAGAGGGGCTTTGGGGTAAACAGCCTCAACTGGGTCACTGGGATGGGTGCAGGATTTCTCCTCTTCCTAGAGGAGCAGCCCCTCTTCTTCTCTTTGTGTGGGGGGACCCGAGGAGGGATGATGAGAGAGGGGAAAGCAGGTGGCAACGGGCAATGGGGCGGGCCTGCTTAGTGTGGAGGGGAGTTGCCGAGGAGCTTCAGTTCCTTGGTTTGCCATGTGAGGTGGAGGCAGAGACTTGCCATAGGTCACAGGGAAGTGGCCGAGCGATGAGAGATGCCTTCAGCCGTACTTGTGCGGAGCAAATGCATGTCTTGGCTAGATTCCCAGAAACACTCTGAGGCTGGGATTTGAGTCCATTGTGATGGGGAAGCTGGTACAGCACCCCAGGGTGGGAGTGAGCAGAGAAGGGGACAGCCAGGCGGGTGAGGCATCCACCTAGTGCTACTGTGGGCACCTGCTCTGTCCTGCCTGGAGCTCTGGAAGCCAGTATGTGGCACAGGCCTGGGAGCTGTCCCAACCCTTGAAAGGAGGAGGCTGGGGTTATCATCAGTGTGGAGAGCCCTGCCCGACAAGATTAACTCCCTCACCTCCCATGTGAGTGGGGCTCAGAGCCAGATTTAATAAGATTTAGAAAAGTGATAGAATGTATTGTGGGGAGCAAATGCCTACCCACTTTTCAGCCACAAAGTACTCATGGGAGTCAGGGATGTGTCTGGGGCTTTGGCTGATGCCGGTGTGAGAGCCGGGTACAGAGTTTGGTCCTGGCCCCTACGTGTCCTGCATGGCCGGGCCCATCTCCTTGAAGACTGGGGAAGTGCCTTCCTGCTATCCCTGGGGCTGTGTTCTTCCACCTGTTTGCACTGTGAAGTTGAGTAACACCTTTTCCTGAAATGCCTCCCCACAGTCTTCCTGCAAGGGCCCTGTGTCACTGAGGGACTCTGGGTTCTGGGGTGGAACTGGGCTGGGGAACATAGCTCTGTTGTCTGTTCAAAACCTCTTGACATCAGGGTAGCCAAGTGGGGAGCCATGGGAGTCATGCACTGTCAGTATAGCAAGGCCCTTTGATGATAAAGGCCTGATACCCCAGAAGCCAGCACAAATGATGATGACATCACCCATAAGTGACATTGTATACTTGCCATGAGAGCACTATGATTATCTCCATTTTACAGAGAAGGACACCGAGGCCCAGAGCAGGGAAGCCATGTCAAGGAAGCACTGAGGGGCCAGACCAGCGCTTGGAGCCTAGTTCATCTGCCCCAGAACCCCATGGGTCAGAAGTGCTTGAACCATCAACATCAACAAAATACATGTCCTTTACCCAAGGGGTAGCTCTGCATAGATGGTGTGGAAGTTGGTCCTGAAATCAGGTGACTGGCTTTCTTTCTCCAGATGCCTGAGGGACGTGGCCAGGACTATAGAGTCATTCTTTTGTGGCCTGATATGGTCCAAATGCAGCTCAGAGAGTGCCCAGTCCTGTGAGATGAGCCTGGAAGTGACTCAGGTATGGTTTAGATGACTGGTCCCTGTCTAGCAGGGGCAAATAACTCCTGTGTGGGACAAAACCACACTCCAGACTGCAGGAGCTGCAGGCAAGTGTTTATTGACTGCAGAGAGGAACAGCACCCAGGGCTTGCTCCCACACTCCCAGCTGTGATCGGGTGGGTGCTGGGTGACCATCATCCGCGTTGTCCCTGGGGAGCAGAATCTGCATCTAGAAGTCCGAGTCTGGGGTCAGTATGAGAATCTCCTGAGGTTAAAGGAGAAAAGTCATTTAAAAAAACTTCTGCCTTGCTGTTATTTATGCTGGCTTTGTCCTCGGGCACAAGGTGACCACTGGCCTTGGGGAGGTCATAACATTGAACTCATGCAGAATTCTTGGAAAGGGCAGAGGTCTGTGTAAAGCCCTGCAGTGGCCTGGGAACAGGTGACCTATCTGTGTGCAGTGGTGGATTGTGTAGATTTGTTGTCCCCAAGCCCAGCCCACTACCAAAACTCTCCAGGAGGTTTTATAAAATGCAAATTCCTGACTGTATCTGTGGAGACCTAGGGAGCCGAAGTTTTAACAAGCTTTTATTTTTTTCCTTTAAAACCATGTGTAGCATGAGGAACTTGTCCTATTACACCTCTTAGATTTTATGGTGACCATTTTCAAACATCCACAAAGTTGGAGGAATCATGCAACGAACCCCTGACTCTGTTGTCGCTCCCTCTCCCTCACTCTGGCTTCAACTAGTGTCTGTCCTGTTATTCATTCCTCCAGCTGAGTTTTAAAACACGTGGCATTAAAGCCACACAAGGAAACCCCTGTGCTACCAGCCAAAAACAAAGGAACAGAGCAAACAGGACACTTAAAAATAGATGCAATTAGCAAGCTTAAACCTGTGCTCCCCCACCCAGGATTAAACAGCTCAGGAATTCAGTGATTCTAATTGATAGCTTGGGCACGTGAGGGCTTGTAGAGTTCAGGGTTTGGTCTGAAAGTCCTCTGGAACCTCACATTGGACACCAGGTCATAGGAAGGCAATGGGCAAGTCATCTGTGGCTTTTCTTTAGGGTTAATAATTCCGTTTTTAACTCTTCTCAAGTGCTGAGTAGAATTGAACACCAAGGAGACACAGGTTTCTGTTTCTGTTTGCTGTTGTGACTGTGCCTGCACACAGTAGGTGCTTACTAACTGGCTGTGACTTGGCTGAATGCAATAGGCAGGGGATTACCAGGGAAGCTGCCGAGAACAAATCCCACCACTGCGCCTGCTGTGTGTATGACTTTGGAAGGGGATTTGCTGTCACTGGCTCTCGGGTTTCACCGTGTATAAAGTGAAGGTTATGGGCTGGGGGTTTAGCTCAGCAGCACAAGCACCTGGCTAGCAGGTGTGAGGTTATGAGTTCAAGACAAAACAAAACAAAACAAAACAAAACAAAACAACACGAAACGAAAATGGAGGCTACGTCAGGACTCATAGCCTGGGATGCAAGTGAAGGCTGTCATGCTGGTGCACAGTGGCCGTGGGCCATCATTATTGTTGGGGATAAAATCTGCTCCAGCCCTTCTTCCCAGCAGATGCCAAGTGTTCACAGGAGGTCTAGTGTGTGCCAGGCCTTGCTGCCAGCACTGAGATGGAGGCATGAACAAGATGGACACGAGTTCAGTCCTCACGGCACTGAGACTGTTTTGCCATGGAGTTGGGGTGTGTAACCCCTGATCTACATGCCTCATTGCTGCCTCAAATCTCATCTTTCCTGGAATGTTAAACATCCCTGTCCATCCCACCAGGACACTTCTCCCAGCTACCCATAGGCTCAATCTGTCAGCTCTTCAGAGAGACCGCTCTGACCACTCCATCTAACACAGAATCCCCCTCAGCCTTCACGCTGAAAGAGTTTTGGCCCAGACAGGACACTGTAGCCAGTAAAGCCTCAGGCGGAACCAAGGAGCTCCATCTTCTCCACCCCTAGGAATTTACCTCTGGTGCCAAAAGAATATCAATGGGCTACTTGTGCATCCCTAATGCCTCCTCAGGCTCCACCCCAAACCTAAGGTACATATATGTCTCCACTCCACGTGTTCCACGAGATCGCTGACCCTGGGGTGAGATGCCACGCCCCAGGGGATCGGGGGTGTCTTTCCCGGCATTCTCAAAATAAAGGTCATTTATATTTCATACTTCTTATCTTTCCAGCTGCCGCCAGTCCCCCACAGTTCTATCATATGGTTCCCTGACCGGGAACGGCAGACGAGAGACTCCTGGGCCCTCCCAGTTTGAGTCCCCTGCCGTTCAGGACCAGGGCTGGACTGCATCCTGCATTAACTCCTCATTTCTACACTCAGGAGCTGTAAACTTGTCGCTGCTGGTTTGCAAACAACACCAACCCAATTTACCACAGGTGAGCAACCCCGGAGATTGCCGCTGGGCCAGGCCTCAGGTGGGTTTCCTTTCCGTGGGTTTGCATGACACTCTCACGTCCTTAGATAGCCCAAGGCAGAGTTTTCCTGGACCAGCCTGTGTCCACACTGAGAGACTCTCATGTCCTTTAGAGCTTTTTAAGTTCTCACGGGTAGAACTGTTACTAAACCCACATGAAATCCACTCATATATACTGGTGATGGGCAATTATTACGAGCTTTGGAACCATATAATACCAATCGGTCTAGAGTAAAAAGTGACGACTTACACTTAGTAGACCACGGTTCGTTGCCTCATCTGGCTGTCACTCCATGGGTCAGACTCCACACCAGATTTTATCTTGGGGACCACTTCCTGTCCCCCCCCAAAAAAACCCATACCTATTTATGGCTTAGCCTGTTTTGAGAATGTGTGTCTTTTCCTGCCAGCATCCCTTTGTCTCCTCGCCGATTCCCCTCCCTCCGCCATGCGCCGACCCATTTTCCACCAAGATGGGAGAGATGAGCCCAAACAGTGTTGAGAGATACACGCGGGGATGCTTTAAGCTTTAAGCTGTTTTAAGCTTTCACGCTGTGCCCCAACTCTGCGTAGTATCTCGGCTCTCATGCAACTCTCCAGGTCTACATGGGGTCGGCTCTAATGCTGCACCCTAATCCGCGTGCCCCACGAGCAGTTCCAGCTCCACATGGCATACCAACTCCACCTCCCAGCTCTGCCCCCCCCACAGTGTGCTGCTGCTGCCCTGCATGTGTTTCTGAGGGCAGTCCCAGCCCGCCCCATGGGCTGTGTCCCGGTGCTCACTCTGCGTGCCCCGCCCCCACGCTGGGCGTGCTCTGTCGGTGGGCCAGAACACAAACACAGATAAACAGCAGCTCGGTGGCTTGGCTCATAGATGCTATTTTTTACATTCTCAAACCATTTTAATCAAGGTTAAATAAGCCCATAGACAAGATTTTAGCTGATAAATGGGAAAGTGGCTACTTGGTAATTTTACTAGCCTTGTATCAATTAAAGCCTTCAGTAATCTCCTGTTTAACAACTAAAATTAAGAGATATTTATGAATTCCTTTTGCTATAAACCACCAGTGGTGTTCTGTGTTAAGCTTACTGCCTATATTATACTGTATTGTCACTGATCTCCTGGTTAACAACTAAAATAAAAAAAAATTATAAATTCCTTTTGCTGAGAACCACTAGCTCTTTTCCAAGACAAGGGTTATATGATACATGCAAAACAGGAAAACCAACACTGTGGCAGAAATCAAACTTATACCTTTCCCAGCCTTTCTGCCTGCTCTAGCTCAGCCCTCCACTGAGCCATAATTAACTATATTCAACTGATATTAAATAACACCGTAGCTGATTTCTTTCCTAAATAAAAAGATAAAAAATTAATTAAACAGGCCATCCTCCAAAAATCAGATGGCATTAGACATTTTAATAACATAAAGAGATACTCATATATATGACATAAATGTCAGTTCCTAAAGTTCTCTGAACCTGTCCTCCTTATGGGAAGTCACTACTAAAATTATAAATATCCTGTTGATTGTATTTGACTCCTGCATACTTACTTAATTCTACAGATACCTTCTACTATAGACCAGATCCCACAACAAAAAGGCAAAACTTGACCTTCAAACCTCATAAAGATTTTAATATGGCTTTTTGTGTTTTCAACAACAGGAATAACACTTGTGACACTTGGAGTTCTGAGACAGGCAAACGGACATAAGGTGGAACTGCCTGGGCCCCCTCATGGACCATGCCTCAAATGCAGCAGAAGACATTGGGCAAGAGAGTGTCCCATCCTGGCGTTCTTTGAGACCTTACCCCAGGGCTACTGGACTGTCCCAGCCACCAGAGAGTGGGTAAGCCATCCTAACTTCCAGCCCTCACAGGAAATGTCAACACTGCCAGGTTCATTGCTGACAGATCTGCTTAAACTTGCTGCCGAAGACTGATGAGGCTCAGGGCCAACAGCAGCCCCCTTTATGGGTGTCCGTCTCAGAGTGCAAGTCCCACTAAAAATCTCAAATAAGACATTCTCTATATTTGTGGATGTAGAGGCCATATATACAGAGTTCTGCCTGAGTTTTCAGGCCACTATAGTAAGTCCTTAATCTCTATAAGAAGATATTGATGGTCAACCTATGCCATTTACAAATAGGGCCTATTTTGTGCAGGTTCCAGACTGCTTCTTCCCAATCCACCCAGTGGTACCAAATCTTCCCTCCACCACTCATTCTACAGTACTAAATCTTAAAATGCTTTTTATTCCCTTGTGTTTATACAGGCTGACCCAGACACTGAGGTCTCAACAGCTTACACCTGTTATCGCTAGACCACTCCCTTCCTTTCTTATTCACCAATTTTTCAGACAACCCTGGTCAAGACTGGCAGATAAATTTTGTCTTCTCACTTTTTTTATACTTTTTCAGGATACATAAAAGCCTTTCACACAACCAGGGAGACTGCTGATATACTTACTGAAGTCCTGTTATAGCAAATCATTCCAAGGACTACAACCAGGTTACAGTGACCCATACCTGATATTCTTGACAACCTCAACAGTGATCAGAGTTGCTAGACTGCCATCCTGGTTTCACATCACTCAGGCTAAGTGGTGCCCTTCCAGCCCTAGATCTCACCATCCTTTTGCCTATTCATCTCTGCCTTATGAAGGCCTCACAGCCACAACTCTCAGGCTGTCATGTTTTGTTATCCAATTTGGATTCTAATTTATTCTTTTTACAGCAGGACTCTTAATAGTATTTCCTAAAGACTCCCACATCATGCATACCAGAGACAAGCCTTACCCTTTTAACTTTTACCCTTTCAGATGGCGGAGTAATCACCTCTCATAACTTCACTCCTCCTAACCCCACATTTATTTTTCAGAATTCTACCTTACTGTGGCAATAATTCTACCTCAATATGGTCCTGATATAATGACATGTCTAAATCAAAGGCACCTTTCCTTCTACCTCACCTGGGTCCTTAAATATGACAGTGCCATCTCTCCTCATAACATCTTGTCTCTTTGTTTTTCCAGTATAACATATGTGCATTCACCAGTGAAGTTGTCCTGGCTAAAACACCTGGCACCAGCTTCTACCTGGGCATCAACCGTCATCCCATCAACTCCCCTACACCCCAGTACAGTGCCCCTTTATAGTAGGAAGCAGTAAAGAGAGAAATCTTTGTCCCTTTTCATAATAATAATCGTAAGATGGGATATGAAAGAGTTTTGGCCCAGACAGAACACTGTAGCCGGTAAAGCCTCAGGCAGAACCAAGGAGCTCCATCTTCCCCACCCCTAGGAATTTACCTATGGCGTCAAAAGAATACCAATGGACTACCTGTGCATCCTTAATGCCCCCTCAGGCTCCACCCCAAACCTAAGCTACATATATGTCTCCACTCCACGTGTTCCATGAGATCGCCGATGCCGAATAGGGGGAGATGCCGCGCCCCAGGGGATCGGGGGTGTCTCTCCCCACATTCTCAAAATAAAGGTCATTTATATTTCATACTTCTTATCTTTTCAGCTGCCGCAGGTCCCCTACAGTTCTGTCACGTGCTCTCTTCTGAGCATGCTTCATTTTCCTGCTTAGCCCTCACTGAATTGGACTAAAGCTCTGCTTTCATGAATTTACACATCTGCCTCTCCTGCTAGAACGTGGATACCGAAAGTGGCGGGCTCCTTTGTTTCTGTTCACATCTATAGCCTCAAGCACCCAGAGGCAGTCCCCGCCCGAGGTAGGCCTTCAAAAGAGCCTTGGGGGGTGAATGAGTAGTAACAAATGAAGTGGAAACATGTGATGGCCCCAACTGCAGATAAGGAGGTGGGCCTGAGAGGGACAGGACTGCCCACAGCCACACTCCCCGCGTGTCACCAGCAGGGCCCAGGCAGTTTATGCGCAGGCACCACTCACCTGGGCCGAAGACCAGCTAGCTGTTTCGCACCCCAAGGCCTTCACAATTGGCATGCAGATCCCAGCTCTCAATTTGCCTGGAACAACAAATGTGATCACAGGTGGTGGGCTGAGGTTCTGCAGGGAAGCCGGATTTGGACTCTGCGCCTCAGTTCACCTGTTCCCTGTCCCAGCACCTGCCCAGCTGTATCTCTCCACCTTTTGCCTGTGGCACCAGCCTCTGGCTGTCCCAAAGTGTACCCCTTTACAACTTCTCACAGTTCTGCTCAAGAGCAATCACTGGCTCCCACCATCCACAGCAGAGGTTTCTATACTTTGAGATTTCCTGCTCTAATAAAAAGAAATTAAAAGGGTGTTGCTAGCATTGGTTAACAACTCTCCCCACATCCTCAAACCAAGGCTTAGAGTAATGCTACCTATTCCACAACCCTAACAATATGGCCGCATGCTATAGCAATGGCTGGGGAAGGTTGGGTGCAGATTGTGCCCAGCTCCTTGGCCCCTTATGCACCAAGTCTCTTTCTGGTCTTTCGGAAAGGCACTCTGATTTTCCACTTCATAGATGGTAAGCCTAAAGCTCAAAAGGATGAGCAGCTTGTCACAGGCCAGGCAGCCAGCACAAGAGGGCCGGGACGTGGAGCCTGGTCTGCCAGTGGCACCCTGAGTGTGCTGTAGGAGTATCTCCACTGTCTTCTTCCTGTGGGCTCCCCTGTGAGGCTGGACTCTGCCTCGCCCCTCTCTGCAGGGCCTGGCACTAGCTAGTAAAGGAACTGGGCCCGGAGTTTGGAGATGGCACGGTCATCTTCCTGGTCAGGAAGGCTCCCTGGAGATGGCGGAGTTTGAGAGTCTGACTACAAGCAGAAACCAAGTGAAGGGATGCAACGTGGGCAGAAGAGGTAAAGCAAAGCCCCGTGGGGAGAGGGCACTGGGGGCAGAGGGGCTCACTGTTCTGGTTTGGCAGCAGCTCAGCAGTGAGGATCATGGTGATGGCATCTTTCAGAAGATTAGTCTGTGGGAAGAAGGGGAGCTGTCACCCTGGCTGAATCCCAGATCCTCCTGCCCTCATGGGTGGGCAGAGCTCCTCCCTGTGGTGAGAGCAGCAGCTGAAATGATGGAATTCGCCCCTTTGCAGATTAGAGCTATGAGGAATTCCAGGAACTAGACAGATCCAGGTGAGGCACGACCTCAACTGCTTGGGGGACCCTGCAGGTGGGGTATGGGTGCACTAGAGGACACCCCCTCCTCAGAATCCGGCTACTCTTTTGCTGTTGAACTGGGAGTTGCCTGAGCTTCTGACTTCCCATGAGAAGCCAGAGCCCTGAAGTTCACATGGAAACCTCCTTGCTTTAACATATTGGTAAAAAAGAATTAACAAACAAAACACAAAGACCAATGAACGCATGGCTGAAAAGATAGATCAGCCAGTTTGAGATCTCAGGTTTACTCTGACTTAGATGGCTAAACTGAGGACCAGAAGAAAGAGGCTCCCCAGGGTCACTGTGGCGAGCCTCTGTGACCATAATGGGACTGTGAATGGAGCTTTGTTTTCTAACACAGGCCTCAAACTGTGCTAAAAACAGCAAGGGTGGGTATCGTGTGTGTCTCCCTTGTGTCTGGATACGGCAGGGGCCTGGATGTGTAGCCAGGAGGTCTGGCTTCGGTTGGTTGCTGGAGACCCTGTTCTCCCCCAGGGTTCCTGTAGGATTTCCTCCAAAGCAAACCTTGGGCAATATCTCTTTTTAGGATGGACCATTCCAGCCCATCTCTGTGACAAGGGACTGTCTGTTAATACTTACATTGAATACCCCAATATCTGAGTTCATAAGTCGGATCCGGTCAGAACTGCAACAAAAGATGTACATGAGAAGAGCCCTGTGGTGGTCCAGTCATCCCTTCAACAGCTATTTATTAAGCACCTACAGTGTACCAGGTACAGCACAGGCACTTGCGGGACAGTGGTGAACTGAATTAAATCCTTGCCTCATGGAGTTTATATTCTAGCTGGGCAGGGACACAAATAGTGGTCCAAAGAACAGACCTCCCTCAGGAATGTGGACTAGGGTGCCCAGGATCTGGAGGAGGGGCACTTGATTCTATCTCTGCTACCCACTGCCAGGCAGGAGTGCCAGCTCAGGCAGGCCCCATAGACTGAGCTTCATATGCTGGCAACTGATTTATACTAAAAACCCCAACCCTGCTGGGCAAATCCCAACACACCCTGGAGCCTGGTCTACTGTGGAAAGCTCCAGTCTGCATCCCCTGAACTCACTCTGGGGTGGAGGAGGGCGTGGGACAGGAGAATCAGCAGGGCACAGAAGGTACTTCTGTGCTGGCTCCAAGGGGCTCGGTGTCTGAGGCTGAAAGACACTGTCTGTCTTGGAGGTGTTCAGGACAGGCTGCCCAAGGCCGCAGGGCTGCTGCAGTGTGGGCCACTCCTGGGCCAAGGTGAGCCTGCCCAGGGGCTGCATCAGGCCATTATTTCCTTCCTTGTCTCTGGTGTTCAGTCCTCAATGACAGGAAAGCCCAGGCAAGGCCACCTGCCTGCCCACCCTGGAGCAGCCCTCACCTGATGCCCACTCACTGAGCATTTAAAGAAACCCATGCCTACAGCCTAACCTCATTTTCATCAGCAGAATCTTCACAGTGACTCCATGTTTACCTGATGTCTTTAAAGTTGATCATAACACGGTCACCTTCGTTGTAAAACTGCACCTCCGATTTTGTTTCCTGCAAGAAAAGCCTATGTTCCATTGCTTTGAAGTGGAGACATCAGCATGAAGTGAGGACCATATAAGGAGGCTCTGGGGTCCAGCTCTCCTGGTCTGAATCTCAGCTGCTGGCTGTGGCCTTGGGGAAGGGTTTGCCCTCCCTGGGCTTCACTTTTTGCATCTCATAAATGGGATAGTATCTATACTCCACCCCATAAAACACATGTTACATAGGCTTGCACAGAAAGACAAGGACAACAACACAGCCAGTGTATAGAGCCCTGGCTGTGTCAGGTGATGCTCTGAGAACTCTATGTGACAATGCTCAGTGGTCTGACTCCTTTGTTCCAGGCCCTGTCATTACCTGGTCGTGGAGGTGAGAAAGCTGAGGAAGAGGACCACAAGGCCCTGGGAAGTTTGAACCACTGAGAGTGTTACTGGGAAGTATGGAAGCTATACCAGATCCCACAAATGGGCTCCAGACAGGTATCAGTCTGATCCCTGGCTGGAGGTGACCCTGAGGGCAGAGTGCCAGGCTCAGCTCCAGGTCAGCAGCATCCAGAGGATGCCTTCATTCTGCAGGCTTGGACTTGATGGTCAAGGTGTCCCTTGACCACGGAGGGTTCACTAGGGAGTGAGGCTGGCCTGAGGGCTGCGGGTCAGAGGATCCATCAACACAGGGGCACCAAGGCACCAGGGCACCAAGCCAAGCTCCTCCCATTGTGCCACGCCTACTGTGTCTCTGTGAAAGGCCCTCTCAGCTGTGAGCTGCATGGCCCACACCGCTGTGCAAAGCTCTCCCTGTGGTGAGGATGGTCGACTCGAGCCTCCTTGTCACCACAGGTCCTGCCAGACGCCTGGCTAGTCCCATTGCTCCGCATCTGCCTCATTTCACAGTTTCTTTGCCTGCTGCAGTGAATGCAGCTGGTGTCCCACAGATGCCCAGGCAAGGTGGCAGCACCTCTCAGCTGCTGAGTGCCCAGCTGCCCTTTCTCTACAGATTTCCTTGTGTCAGTGAAGCTCTCTCCCTGGGAGATTTTGTTCTCACTTCCCCTGGGGGCTGTTGGTGGCCAGTGACTGGACAGTGAGGGGTACAGAAGGCTGGCCTTCTGGTCTCTACAGGACTTAAACATGGTGCAATCCCCAGCCGGTCCCAAGCTACTTTCTGCTCATCCCTCACTGTTCTGTCCTGAGAGCTGTTCCCCAGTATGTCACCTTTACGAGAACTTTGTCCCAGGCTCTACTCCTGGGGGCCATACTCAAGACCCCTTCTGAGAGGCTTGTTTTATGATGCCCCACTCCATCCCTTTACCTGCAGCTTTTTTCCAGAGGAATCTGTGATCTGAGCTGTCAGAGCTCCTGAGAACACCCAGGGAAAACCTCCTTGAGATCAGTTACTTCTGCTCAGACATTAGAAGAGGCCTCAGCACGCCTGCTGTCTGTCAGTGTGGTTTGCATGGAGCTAATTCCTGGGCCCACTCCTGCATGCATCAGTTTTTCTTTCTTTCTTTTTTTTTTTTTTTTTTTTTTGGTATCAGGACTCTAACTCAGGACCTTGCACTTGCCAGGCAGGTGCTTATGCTGCTGAGCTATATCCCCAGGCCCTAGATTCAGTTTTTTTGACTACACAGATCAATTCAGGGATGGGCATATGACCCAAGCTCATCCAGTGAGAGTCATCCCTGGGACTTTTGCAGAACTTTGAGAAAGAGAGGAACTTCTTGTTGGAACTGTGGAGCTGATAAGATACAAGCTCAAGACATCTTGGGGCACTTCTGTGAGCAGACAGTCTGAGGGTGGGGAGGGCTCAGAGGCAAAAAAGGCAGCCACAAAGGAGCAAGTAGAAAGAAGATGATGTTACTAAAGAACACAAATCTGGTTATTCTTGAAGCTAATGTCATCTAGAGTTTGCAGCAATATAATCTAATCCGTCACCTTTTTGTGCATGTGAGATGAGTTTCTGCCCAATGGTTTGACCCTGACCAATAAAGTCATGGGGTCAAAGTTAGGCCCTCAAAGCTCTCGACTTGATTCACAGATCCTCCCCGCAGCTGGTTAGGTGACAAGAGGGGTGAACAGCAACAGTGAAGGACAGGCATGCTGCTGCAAAGTCACGGATAATTGAACTCACAATGCCCAGGGTGAAGAGAGGGTGGGGTTTTTTATCTGTGGCGAAAATGTCCATGACGATTTGCTGGGCTACCGTGCTGCTGCCTGGGATCAGGTGGAGGTAGGGAACATTCCGAGTCACCATCTTCACTATCTGAGTGTTGTCCAGTCTATCTGCAACCTGCAAGGACATTAGACTGAAGTGTGACCTCCCAAGTGCTTCACTATGCTGCCCCATGGGGCCTTGCCCCTGCCTCTTCTCTGGCTTCTTGACTCCTCTCTGTGTCTCAGACTCACCGTCCTTGGCGCACACCTGGGATCCTGTTGTCCCTGCAGGCAGCTGCGGCCTCCTGCTCTCAGTGTGTAACACCTTCCTCTTTGGGGAAACCAAAGCAGGTGCCCAGTGATGCTCCAGCATCTGTCCTTTGTCACTGTGCTTGCAGTGAAATGTCATCTATGTGACTGTCTGATTCAAATTTCCCTGCTAGACTGAAATCTCCGAGAGGCTGGGCCTGGTCTACCATGGTTCCCAGTGGTGGAAGGGAAGTGGACAGTGCTGTCTGCCCCAGAGACCTCTGTCCAGACTGCACCCATCACCCATCCAGCTGCAGGAGGTGAATGAATCACTCACCTGTTTACTGATTTTCTGAAGGCTCAACTTCAGCTTTCTGGCCACATCTGGATGCTGAGGAGGAAGCCAGAGCTGATCAATCAGATGTGACAGGCAAGGCATGTGTCTGTATCCCACTGCTGAAAAGGATTCCTAGAACCCCAGAAAACCTGGGTGCCCAGGTTGGGCCACATGTTTGTCACTGATGGAACAACAGCCCCTAGGCCAGGCACTGTGAACATCTGCTTTGTATAGGCAGTGGCTGGGGACCTGTACCTGCTCCCTGCTCACTCCCTTTCCTGTTGCAGCCATGAATGGGGTTGATGCCAACCACTCCCCATTTGCTCACCCTCCTAGCACTTGATCCTGAGTTCTAATCCCCAAGAATTGGGATTGGAACCTGTTGTCTGTCTGCTGACCTGAAGCCCTACCACCCTCCTGTAACTGAGCAATGCTTTCTCCCCTGGACCTTGGTTTCCCCATCAGGTGCCCTGGAGAAGATGGCTGCTAGTGGTGGATGTGTGTGCTACAGTCTGCCAAGCAGCATTAGTAATGATTCTGAGTTGCGGTGGTGCCCAGGTTCAGTGAGAGGGAGAGCCCTGATCACTTAGCCTGCCGTGACTTGCACAGTGGCAGGAAGCAAGGTGACTGCCATCCACGGATGGTTCACTGTCTGAGATACCCTTTGGCTCCCTAAGACTATTACATGGTGGAAACAAGTGGGCCAGAGGGCAGGAGCAGGGCCAGAGCTGAATGTGACAGGAAGCTTTCCGGCTTCAGAGGCTACATCACAGCTAGGGTCCATGACGGGAGGAATTTACCCTGAGGCCACACTCCAGGAACCCAGGTAGTCTTTATCCTCTCTGCTTAGCACATGAGACAGCAGAGTCCCCTCCTCTGTCTCAGTGAGACTCACGGCATAATCCAGCAGGATCACAAAATTTTCCGAAGGCAGCAAGGTGGCAATCACAGCATTCACCAGGTCCTGCCGTATGACGAAGCTGGAGCTGGTGTTACCCAGCTTGGGCACTGTCAGGGTCATCTCTGAGCTTTGGAACCATGTCGTCACTTGGCCCTTTGAGTTCAGCACCCTGGCCTGAGGAGATGGGGCAGGGAGGGGGTTCCAGGTGTAAGGCCACAGCTTCCTCAGCCAGAGCCAGTGGGTCAAATGTGTCCCCCATAGCTCATTAGTGGAAATATAAGCCCTGGGAGCTGGACAGAGAGCTAGTTGTGATTTGTGGATTAATGTTGTTATTCTGAGGGTGGGTTTTTTTGTATTCAGTGTCTTACTGTGGCAACGAGTTATGGTAGGTGGCTGGCAATATGTCCTCCACCTGAATCTCAGATAATCTCGATTATAATTGTTTTTCTGCATAGATACGTTTTTTTGTGTGTGTGTGTGTGTTGCCCATGCTGGCTTTAAACTTCTGTTTAAATCCTCTTGCCTCAGCCTCCTTAGTGACTGTGACTACCAGTATGCATCACTGCATCAGAATTTCAACACGTGTCTTATTTTTCATTTATATTTCAGCTTCCCAGATACCTCAAACTCTTTAAATGAAGGAAAAATTCAAAACAGTAACAAGATGAATGTATATGTTTGATGCTGCTATTTCTGAAAGGATTCCTGAGAGCTAGCCTGAGATTCATGCCATCCAGTTCGGCAGGACCCCAGGGAGTCCAGCCCCAGCAAGGCTGTGCAGCCCCACATTTTACAGAGCTGACAGTTACCAGTACTTTCTGTCTTCCAGGTCTGACATGGTTTCATTTTATTCTATCCTAAGTGGCTATTACTCTTTACATTTACAAGCAAGGAAACCGAGGCTCAGCGAGGTGAAGAAACCAGCCCAGTTACATAGCCAGGGAGTCATGTAGCTGGAGAGAAACTCAGGTCTGTGTTACCTTCCCGAGCTCTGTTGCAATGTCTCTAGCCCTAGGGGATCTGCAGGAGCGAGCCTGAGGAGAAAGGCCCAGGGCCCCGGCACAAGCAGGGTTAGAGCTGGAGGACAGGGCCTGGGTACATGCTCTAGGTGACCCTCAGTTCCCATCGGCAGGGTTTCCTCCCTCAGATTGGCCTGCGTGGGAGGTACTCAGCTTGTGATGTCTTCCAAAGCAGTCTGTGCACCCTGACGTGACTAGGTTCTTCCCTTACTGGGTCTGACCCCTGGTGACCAGAGAAGAGCAGGGCAGTCCCTGGGATGACTGCAGTGACACTCACCTCTAGGTAAAACCGGACAGTATCTTCCTCAATGATGAGGAACATGGGGTCAAACACCAGGCCTCCAGGATTGAGGGGAATGGGCACTGCTCAGGCAAGAAGAAAGTTCTGTGAGGCTGAAATGCCGTGTGGACGGGTGGTCTGCAGCTGCTTCCAGCAGCTCAGTATTGCACCAGGGAGGGGAAGAAGGAAGGAGCCAGAGGGAAGATGACCACGCTGGTAATATCAACAAGAAGGTTGGCAGTGAAGACCCATCCCTACAGCCACCTTGCAGGAAGCCTGGGTTCAGAACAATGAAGTGACATGATTTTGGTCAAACTATGACCGGGATTGCTATTTATAATTCTCCATCTCCCTAACATACTGCAACACACACCCAAAAGCTGGCAGGCTCTGGACCCCAGGCGCCAGGCCATTGAGCAGCTGGATCGTCTGCGTTCACCGCAGGATTCCCCATTAGGCCGCCAGGTGGCGGTGGCGTCTCTCCGGCCGTTAGGTGGAGACCCGAGAGGCCCGCAGGATGAGGCCCCTGGGTGCTTTCCTTCCCTGCCAGGAGCCCTGACCCTGATTCTGATCTTGACCTGGAGTCCGCGGAGCAGAGGAACCAGACAGGCTTAGGTTTGAGCCCACTGACTCTGCCTCGTCTCTTTGTGTCTCCGAATCTCTTTCTTTCCTTTTTTTTTTTTTTTTGTCTTTTTGAGAAAGCGTCTCTCTATGCAGTTTAGGTTGGCCTTGAACTCACTTTGTAGGGTAGGCTGGTCTCAAACGCTCAAGGATCCTCCTGCCTCAGCCTCCTGAGTGCCGGGATTACAGGCGTGAGTCACCATGCCCAGCTCTGAATCTCTTTCTTTTCTTTCTATTTTGCCGAGACAGGGTCTCGAGGGTCCTAAGTGAACGCTCTACAACAAGCGACACCCCCAGCCCCAGGTGCCTTTAAAGGAAGTGTCCTAAGTTCCGCTTTGTGGCCAGTTCTGTCAGCCCTGCACAGCGAAGTTTGAATTACACACACTTGGAACTGGGAAAATTGGTTTCTCAGTCCTCGCCGGACTAGTAATTTCCTCAGTGAGCTAAGACACATGACTCAATTCCTCAAGCCTCAGTTTCCCCCATGACTCAGTGCGGGCAATGACTGCTGCTTCATGCACTGTCTGAGGAGTGGGTGAGCCAGGCTGTGTCCTTCTGTCTCTGCTGCTCTGGAGAGGAGAAATGACTTCCTCCTGGGCACACATGTCTCATCTCTTCCCTTGTCCCCTTTTCCCTGTTAGCATACTGTGGCCACTCTACAGTATCATCCCCCCTTCCCATCATCCATCCCTCCACCCACTCAGCAAGTATAAGCACTTCTGTGTCTCGGATTTTCCTATAAACTTAATCCTCACCAACCATGCTGAGGGCAGGATGGATAAGCTGTATTTCCAGGAAAGAAAACAACATGAGGAAGCAGGGTGACTCTCTTAAAGCCGTGAAGCAAGTCAGTGGCAGGGCTGGGACTTGAACTTGGACTTACCTGGGCACCTGCTGGTCTCACATGGAACCTTGAACATACAGGATGCTCAGGAGGTCATACTTGTGGCAGATTTTCATTTGCTTGTCCTGGGCAGGGATCAACCCATGCCAACCTACCTGCCACTGGGGCCAAGCTGCTGCTCAGGCTCCAGGGGAGGCCCAGAGGCTTATTCTGCAGTGAGGAAAAAGTGGAGGAATGGGAATCGCGCACCTACCCGTCATCAGCTGCAGGAGGCTTGTATACATGTCATCAAAGGCAGCCTTGATCACAGGACACAGCTACAACAGTACAGTGAGGAGTCAGCTCTGTCACACCTGTGCCCACCCGCCCAGCTAGTCAGAGACCCACTGCTGTGCCTCAGGCCAGTCAGGTCCATTCCCCAGTCATCTGACCCCAGAGTCCACTGCAACCCCCAGGGTTATCTGAGGGCTTTTGCAATGATTTGTTAGTTGCTTTACTAACCCAGACCCATAGAGGACAGAGGAACTGGCTCAGAGACCCCCAGAATGCACTGTCAAGGGACCTGCTGTCCACAGGAAGGGTTCCCCTGGCGTCCAGTGCGTTCTGTCCCACCATACCCCCAACCTTCACCTATCAGTGTCTCAACCCTGGGTGCATGTTTGATACTCCAAGATACTAGGGTTCCACCAGAGCAGTTACATATTAGCTGCCTCCAAGTCTGGGTTATGATGAGACATTGCAGTTTTTTAAAGCCTTCTGACAGTTCTGAGATTCACCCAGGGAAGGAGACCCACATATTGACATAAGAAAGGGCTTCTTCATTTTCTACCAGGCTCTTGCCAGCTGTTTATCTCCCTGGAGCCAAATAAACTATGCGCATGACCACAGAGACTCACAGTGGGAAACCAGGGTGGTAAATGGAATGCCCCTCTACTTGGCATTTTAACCCTTAGAGAGAGATGTTATGCAAAGAGTGCATTTTGATTCAAGATTCTTGATGTGTTTTCCAGAGAAAATATCTTTTATCTATTAAAATATGACATCAGATAAACTATGATTTTCCTGGAGGTTGGGAAAAAATTTATAGTGAGACCCTGCCTTTATGTGCATGACTGTGTGAGTTGTGTGTGTGTTACTGTGGACTGAGCCTGGGCTCCCAATTGACCTACATCCCCAACTCTTTTAATTTTTTTTTGAGGCAAGATCTTGCCGGGTTTTTACGTTGTAAAGCCTGCATTCATACTTGAGATCCTTATCCTCAGCCTCCCAGAGTGCAGAGATTACAAGTGTGCACCATCACAAGCAGCTAAGAAATTCCTGCCGTTAAATAAAGAATAAGTTCCTTGAAAAAACCCCTTATGTCAGAAAAGCCCAGTGTCACCAAATTATCTCCTTTCAGGTTCCATTAAAAGAAAACCTTTCTGGGCAGGTTCTTTTGCTAACAGTTAAGGATCTCAAAAGTCTCACAATCACAAAGCATTGCCTTGACTCTGATACCATTTATATTATTCTCTCCCCTTGCCTCCTACCTCTTTTGCTTTTTTCTTACCCTCTTCCAAGGTAGAAGAGAAAAGCACCTTACATCAATGGAATTGACCTTAAAAATTAATCTTATAAAATCTCATTTGAGCCAGGTGTGGTGGTGCACCCTTGTAATCCTAGCACTTGGGAGGGTGCGGCAGGAAGTTTGATGTGAGTTTGAAGCCAGCCTGGGATAAAAAGTGTCAGGACAGCCTGAACTGCATAGTGAGACTCTGTCTCAAAAACATAATAAAAAACAAATCTCATCTGCGTGTTCTTTTTCTTGGTAGCATGTGCTCTACCACCGAGCTATACCCCCAGCCTCAATTTTTGATCATTCATTTACTTTTCTTTGATCTCTTTAATTTATGGATATTTAGCTTGTTAAAATAATAGATCTTTGAGCCAGGCGTGAAGTTTGCACACTTGTATTCCCAGCAGTTTGGGAGGCTGAGGTAGGAAGATCCCAAAGTCTTGGGACTTAGTGAGACTCTGTCTCAAAATAAAAAATCAAAAAGGACCTAGGGCATTGCTCAGGGCCAAAACCCGAGGTTCAAGCTCCAGGCCCCCAAATATGTTTTTTGTGACCTAATATGATCCTCTTAAGTATTGCTACTGAAGAAGCAGAAGCTGAAACTCTCAATCCTGACACTATAAAAGCAAACTTCTGCCTTGCATGGCAGTTGTATAATTTCACGAAATGGAGGCAGAATGTTGCACTGTCTTCTTCTAGTCTGTAAGGGATGGAAGGCAGTTGCGAGCAAGACAGAAATCTCTGTTGTTCTAAAAAATACTCTTCATGAAATTCCATTGTGTATATAAAATATTGTCTTAAATATTGCTAGTATTTTAAGGTGTTCTCAATAAATACATCTCATTACTATGAAGCAAGGTTCCTTGGGGTGATTTAGCAAATGATGAAATATGATGTAGCTATTATAAGGACAGTGGCTATTATACAATCATCTAATAACATAGACTCATGTTCGATTTAAAGGCTGTCACTGAGTGTAGCTGTGTAGAAATGTAAGAGCACGAAGATGACAATCAGAAGTTGAAATGCAAAGTAGTTCCTGGGTTACGTAGAAGCATTGTTGATATTCTCCCCCAATTGTTTTAGTTATTATACCAGCTTTTCAATTAAGAAGTGTTAGTATAAAAAGTATCCATTTGGCAGGTACTTTGAGCACAGGAGAGGTGGCCTGCTGTGGGGAATGCATATTGGAGCTGTCAGTGTGGATTCAGTTCAGTTTACAAAATAAGATGAGATTCACCTGTTTTTACTGAGTTGGGACAATAAATCCAACTGGCTCTCGGGTGCGTGTGAGAAAGCTGAATGCTACAACTTGGCCCAGTTTCTAAGGGCCACTCATTAAGTTTTCAGGAGCTTCTGAGTTGGTTGATAAACTCATACATTATTAAAAACTAAACTGTACAAACTTACAATGAACATGCATTTACTAAAAAACAAAAGTTCATTACTTCCTAAATATTCTCTATTCTCCTGCAGTCTATTACTCTTGAGGCTGTATCTGTTGTGTCTGCTTAGCAAAAATACTGTACTATAGCGTGCTCCTGCGTGTCTTTTCCCCACTCTGCCCAGTGACATCACACTGGTAGTCTAAAGTTAGCCCTGGATCGAGGTTTTACACCAGGGAGCTCAGCAAAAATCTATAAATCAGGGCTCCCTCCCCTCAGCCTCTCCAGAGACAATCCTTAAGAATTTATCTGCACGTCAAGCCTCTTGGTGGACCATGACCTTGACTTCAACAGTCAAGCTAATCGGTGGTCCAATCCATTGCTCTTAGCTTTGGTGAATGGATCATTCAGTTCCAGCGGTGTCCCACCCTCAGAGGATCCCCACAGCAGCAGCTTGCAGTTCCACTCTAGATTCACAGGGGACGCAGTCCGCACAGGGCAGAGATGCTCAGTCTGCTTACCTCGGTTTGCACCAGTTCGGGCAGGGCTGGCACCAGGAGGTTCCTGATTTTTTCCGCTAGGGCATTGACCACGAAGGACAGCCTTTGGAGAGGAGTGAAGGAGATTAGGAAGCGTTGGAGAACACATGAAAAGACAGGGAAGGAGGAGCTTGCCCAAGGCCATGCAAGCTGTTTGACAGGGCACGAGAGTAGAGAGGGGACCCAGGCCACCCATTGCCAGTGGGAGCGCTCTCAGGGAGCAGCGCCCCAGGAGCAGCGCTGCCTTTGGAGTCTGTGCTGGAGCTGAGATGAGGGGAGATGGCGATTCTCTCCACCCCCCTGCTAAGGAGGTTTTGAACCCTAGCCATGGGGCCAGAGTTGGGCCCTGCCAGACTGATGCTTGATTCACTGTTCTGCTGCTAGTTGGAAGGTGTTATCACCTGCACTTTTCAGACAAGGAAGGTGAGGCACAGAAGTGATCTGCCCCATACACTGAGAGGAAGCAAAGGAGGTTTTCCATCGCATGCAGCGTATTCACTGTGGTGAAGTGTTTGATTTTACCCCAGCTCCACCTGAGCCTGCCTGGAGTGTTTTGAGGCACCCAAGGAAGAGCCTAGACCAAGAATGAGGTGGGGTAAGCCGCTTCTTCTCTGGCCTCACTGTTGCTATGAAGTGGGCAAGGCCACCGGCCACCCCTCACTCACCTGTGCAGCAGGCGGATGCGCAGGTTACTGCTGCTGCAGAAGCACTCGCTGAGGACGAGGCGCCTGGAGGTGCTGTTGCTCCTCTCCACTCTGACCAAGGCTTGGGCTTCAGACTCCATGTGGAACTCCACGATGGTCCTGACCAGGGGCCTGTGGCGAAGGCACCAGTGGACAGGCTACCATGTGACTGTCTCCATCTCCTCTGCCGGTTACCCCAAGCCCCCTAGTTTCTTTACTCCAGTTTTCCTGATCTTGCTTCCACCCATGTGTTAGAGTCCCAGCTTGTCAATATAGCAGTGCAGCACTGAATTCTGCATGGTGCCCAAACCTGCTCTTTGCACAGCTTTCTGGCCTGGTTGCTGGCCATTTCATGCTGGACTTGTGCAGACACAAATCTTGCAGTCAGCGTTGGTCTCCTTCCCTCTCCCCAGACTCACCAGGAAAACCTGCTTCCAAACCCACCAAGAACCGAGCACTCCTCTCCACCTCCCTGCCTGACACCCCATTCTCAGCCGTCATTGCCCTATCCGTGGGCACTACCTTCTGGACACCTCTCTGCCTCTGCTCTTGCCCCTGTGCTATTTTCTCACAACAGCTGGAAAAAGCCTTACAAATGTTAAGCCTTGTCATGCCTGTACTCTGCCTAGGCGCTCCAGGACTCCCACCTGTGTCACAGTCAAAGCCAAGTTTGTAGCTGGCTCACAAGTCTCAACACAATCTGGCCTCAGCTGACTGCTGACCTCATCTCCCACCGCTTTCCTCCTTCTTTCCCTGTTTGCCATTCTTAGAGCAAGGCAGGTATGCTGCTGCCCCAGAGCCTTTGCACCTGCTCTTCTCTTTGCTTGGGACTTGTTTTTTCTAGAAATCTTTGTGGGATTTGGGAGATGAGTAGATAAACTTATTAGGTCTATTGTGCCTAACTGAGGGGACACTCACGTGTTGAGTCCAGCCACCATGTTCAGGGGAATCTTGACCATCATCTCTTGGTGATAGGGTAAGGATTGGATTTGCATCTGGAGGATGCTAGCAGAGGTGACCTTCAGCCTGGATGGGATTTGTAAGAGATGAGATTCAGGTCTCATGTCCAGCTAAGTGCTGTCTGCAAGCCCACTCCCATTGTGTCTTTCCTTTCTCCAGCAGCTGCACCCAGGACCTGTCCACCGAGTCCTCACTATCATGGTTCCTTGGCTTTAGGAGGTGACTCTCAGGCTGACTCTGCAGGCCCTCTGTGACCTGACCTGCCTACCTCTCCTTGCCGGGGGGTCTGACTTCCAGTCATTCTGACTGACTCTCACCCTTCTGAGCCTTTGCCCCGTTGGTCCCTCTGCCTAGAATGACATTTTCTTTGAATCTCTGCCTCAACTGCCACTTCCATGGAGAAGTAATGCTTTGTTCCTTCACTCATTTATTCCGGGTCACCTTTCTCTGGGGTTATACTCATAGGGTTCCTGTGTCACTGTCTTATGAGCATTGTTAACTTCTCTGGGAGTTTTTACAGGGACAAACTTAGTCTATGGCCATGGCGGTCAGGGCCAGAGGTGGTGTGGACTGATGTTTGTTGACTGACAAGTGAGTATGTGAAGTGTGTTGGGGCCGAGGTGTGGGGTGGGAACTGGTCCTGGTGTTTTCTTGCCCGCTCACCAGATGATGGATTTCATGACGGTGTTCACCAGGTTGCGCAGCAGTGGGATCTTCCTGTTTGACCTGTGCTGCACAGCACTGAGCAGCGGCAGCTGTTGGAGGATGGTGGTGGCATTGTGGTCTTCCAGCTTCTGCGTCAGTTCTGCAAGCAGATCTAGGGATTAGGGGCTTGGGGGGGTCTTCCAAGGTGGAGAGGGCCCCCCCAAACCTGACCCACCCCCCATCTCTGGGGTGTAGATGTGGCCTTGAGTACTGTGACCTCTTTGACTCACTTTTCCACAAAGAGTGAAACTGAGAGTTCCCCCATCAACCAGTGCCAAAGCCGTCCAGAACCAAGAGGCAGGGAGCCCCAAGGCTCTGCTGGGGACACTTTCCCAGCCAAAGCACATTTGCTAACAATTTGCTGCCACCCATATCCTACCGGCCTGCTGTCCCCAGCCTCGGGGGCGAGACTGAGGAAGGAAGAGCCCGGAACAAGGGCCTGTGAGTCAGAAGCCCCGGGCTGGTGGCTGCCGCAGCCAGAGCTCATTTGGTTGGTGTGTAAATGCCTCAGCTCCTCTGCCCTCAGGCAGGGTGGCCCAGCCCACGTTCCCTCTGTGTCTCCAGCTTCTGAGCTGCTGCCTTGAGGTTGTTTGGCTGCTCTGTGATCATGGAGCTGGACCTTTAATATCTCTTTTTTTTGCTAGTAAGCCCTGCCAGTAGAGGCTCTGGAGGGATGTGGAGGAAGTCCCGGAGTGCTCCTTTTGCCAGGCTTCTGTGGTGTCATTGTCTAGTGGCACTGGGCTGTGCATTAGGAGTGCCCCCAAGAGCGCAGGTGAGCTTTGTGGGGCCTGACCAGCTTCCAGCCAGGGTCCTAGCAATGGCTTTCTAGCAAGTCATCAGCCAGCCTCCCTGTGGGCAGCTTCCTGGGGAGAGCCCTGGCTCCTTGGCAGTGGCTGTCTGCCTTTGCTTTGACTTGCCAACTGTGGGCCAGCCGGGCTGGAACAGCCCAGCAAAAGCCCCTTTGTCCTCCTCCCCCCACTCAGTACCCTGTAACCCACCTTTTCCATGTAAGCCTGGGTTCTCTGCCTCTGAGAGGGCTTTGTCTCAGATGCCCCTTTTATCCCGGGTGTCCTGTAGGGTTCTCCTTTGCCCTCTTAGCAAATGTCCCATTTCTCAGATCCCTGGTAATTCTTTATCTTGGACAGAACTGTGTGTGTGTGTGTGGGGGGGGATGGTGTGGCTTTTATCTCTTGACTGGCCCTGACTCATACATTGCCCAGAAGTCCCCAAGGCAGTCACTATCTTGGACAGGTGCAAGCTCCTGGCTCAGTGGCCTTGCCGAGGAGTCACAGTGTGAGTGCAGGGTGCCACTGCCTCCCCGCTACCTCCCAGAGCTCTCTGCTTCATTTCTTCTCAGAGACCCATCTTTAGGCTCTGCCTATGTCCCTGGAACACAGAGGCCTGGCCCTTGGAGTCCTTCAGGCAGCCCTGCAGATCTGACAGCTCTCCCGCCTCGGGGGACCAGGCTTTGAAGCAGAGTTTCTCAACTAGGGTGATTTCAGCCCCTAGGAGACATGTGGCAGTGTGTGGAGACATTTTTGAGTGTTGTGCTAGCTGGAGTATGTGGCTACACATCCTACAGTGCATGGGACAACCCCCACCCAAGACGATTCAGCCACAGTGGGGAGAGCCCAAGTGAGTAGGCCCTGCAGAGCTCAGTGGGCTCTGGCCAGCTCCTATCCCATTGGATGTGTCCACCAGGCCAAGAAGGCCCTTTTATTTGTTTCCAGACAGGAATCTGAGGCTCAGGGCCTTGCCCAGGGTCACAGAGCTTGAAAGTGACCCTGGAAAGTTGTGTGTCGGTCTCACGGACAGAGTCTTTGCTCTGGCACTGGGAGCCAAGGTGCTCTGATCTTGGGGTTTTGGCACAGGCAGGGGTTGTGTTGCTGCATGTGGTGGCCATACACCCCTTCTGCAGACTCCAAAGGACTGGTTTGTTGAAATCATGCAGTTTAAGTAGAAGGCTCTTGGTTTTATAGACTCTTAAAATCATAGATACTCCAAACTTTTATGACTCAGTTTTCTTGTCCCCCAAAAGTTTTGAGATCTAGCCATACCTCGTGTACCCCAGTGGTGGGAAACTTCCTTCTCTTTGTAGGACTGTTCACCTGCCCCTTGCCAGGTGATGATGCCTGGGGCGACTCAAACTTACGTTCCTTTATGACTTCTGGGCCGAGGCTGAGGACCGCAGGAGAACTGAGGGTGGCTTCGGCCAAGGCGGCTGCCAGCAAACCACAGAGGAGGCCAAGGGTCCAGGGGCCGGCCATCTTTCCAGGCAGGTGTCGGTGAGCAGCAGGTGGCAAGTGGCAGATCCTGGGGTGAGCACAGAGGGTCCAGCTAGCTGGGCAGAGAGGCCAGAGGGTGTCCTGGGGCTGTCCTGCTGTCCAGCGGCTTTCCTGGGCCAGGCTAGATAGTTGGAGGGGGAAGGAGGACTGGGGTAGGACTCAGCACTTGGGGTAGGTTTGAGGAGGGTTTCTTCTTGGAACCAGGAGGAGAAAGGCAGGGAGAAGGTCTGTGGGTGTCTCCTGGGGAGAGGAGCTGGGTGTTCTGGCCCTGTGGCTTCTCTGCGGCTGCTAAGCTCTCAGATGGTGCCCTGTGCACCCGCCAGTCTCCATGGAGCTTCCCAAATGGTTGCAGGTCAAGGGACTTCTGGTGCCCAGAAAGAGCCAGGAGTATGAGCCCACTAAGGTACAGAGGATCGGGCTGGGAGGACCCTGGTGAGCTACTGGACCTCCGTCTGGTGTGTCTGCAGCCTGATGGTGGAGGGGACATATCATGGGCTTAGGAATAGGCAGCTGCCTCTACCACTGGCTCTGTGACCCTGAACAAGTGACTTACCCTCTCTATGCCTTAGTTTGCACATTTATAAAGGGTGACTAGTTATAGTTATATTATACTTGTGTATAGTACACAAGTTACACTACAGGATTGTTGGGAGTCAGAAGGAACCATCCAGTGGTCAAAGCCGGAAGACAGAGGGGACAGCTTCCAGCCCGTTCTATTGCTCAGGGAGCCCCCACCTCCACTCTGTACCCCACAACCTCTCAGCCTGTTTGCTCTCTGTTACCCCACACACCACTCTGCCCTGGGCAGAGGGGGCTGGGGAACAAGGAGCCTCATGGCATTGCCTCCCCAAGTCCCAGCCTGTGCGCACGTGGTGCTCCATCCCTGGGCCTTTCTTGAGTGTGGCACACTCTACATTGGTCACACTGGGAGATCCCTGAGGGCCCGTGTGTCTGAGGCTGCCCTCTGTGCTCACTATTCCCCAGCACAGGTTGGACCCAGAGCAGTCAGTGTGTGCAGAGTGAGTTTACGTCACTGGGATGGGGTCTGTAAGACACAGCCTGCACCAGCCTTTTATCGCACTTTGGTCTTCAGGATGAAGGAGCTAGCATCTCTGTGTCCCCAGCCCTGACCCTCAGAGGTCCCAGCAGAGGGAGGTTACCTGAGCCCTGTCCCCAGGTGTCCACCGCACAGTCTTCCTGGCAGCTGAGGCTTTCGGCCCCCTCACTACACTGTTACCTGGACACGCTGGAGTCCTGGGCCACTGCTCCCTGCCTGGGCAGGAGGTCTGGAGACCTGGCCTTATATCCAGGCAGCCACCCTGTGCAGGTGGGTCAGGGCCTTGGACCGGGCTGAGGTCTCCAAGATAAATATTTACTGCTCTTGGTGAATCAGAGCCCTTCCTGGAGGCAGCTCGGAGCTCCGGTTTCCTGAGGTTTGGAGAAGGAGGGTCTGGGCTGGTGGGAAGGGCGGGTGGGGCACTGAGACATGTGGTAGGGCAGCCGGCCTGGGCACAGGGAGAGCCTTGCATGGCTTCCTGCTCTTGCCAATCATTCCCATGAGACAATGACGAGACTGTGGTAGTGATGATGAATGTGTGCCTCCTCATGCAGGTGCCACCCCAAGCTTTGTACTGTATGTCCCCAGGGAGGACCAGGCAGTTATCCTGACTTTACTGAGGTCAGCAAGTGGCAGAACCAAGATATGAAGCAGAAGCCTGACTCTGGAACCCACCTGGAGATGTCTTCTCAGTTTGGCAGCCATGGAGTGTCATGAGAGTCTAGGTGCGATTCACGCCCCCACCATTTCTGTGCTGTGTGACTTGGGGCTTGTTCTGCAGTCTGAACCACAGAGTTTCTGTCTGTGAAATGGGCACGCTGCTAGCACCTCTCCTGGGTACTTGGAGAAACACAGTGCACCCAGCAGGACATCGATCTTGCATAGAAGAAATGCTTAGTAGCTGTGCATGGCTGAGGCTCTCATCACTGGGACTGCTTGCAAAAGGATGAGCTTTGTGGAGAGGCTATGACAGCTTAGTCCAGATAATTTACTTGAGTTAAAGGAAGGACTAGCTTGGCTCTCCCCTCATGCCTATGTGCATCCAAGGAGACAGATCCCTATTACTTAATTCTCTTAAGAGAACAGGCTTGCATCCCTTTCTGTCACTTCTTTGTGTCCCTATGCAAGGTGTTCAGCCTTCCTGAGACTCCATGGCTTCATTTTTTTTGTATACTAGAGATTGAATTCAAGGCTTCTCACTGAGCTGCAGCCCAAGACTCTTTATTTTGTATTTTGAGAGAGAGTCTTGCCCAGGTTGGGCTCGAATTTGCAAGTCTCTCGTCTCAGCTTCCAGGTACGGCGTCACAGGTGTGCACCACTGTGCCCCATACACGACCTCATCTGTGGAGTGGGGGTAGTGGCAGTGCCTCTTTCCAGGATGCCAGGAGCGTGCACTGAGGGGCAGGACCATGTGATGCAGGGCTTGGGCTTTCATTCTTTCATTCCACTGTGGACACTGCTCTGCCTGTCTGTACCTTCATGAATGTAGTGAGCATTTGTGGAGTGAAACAAATACGAGGTACAGTTGAGAACCAAGGGTGAACCAGTCGCCCCTGCTGGTGCATCACTTCCTGTATCTCACAGTCACCCAGAGAGGAATTGTGCTCTACTTGGGGTATCTGAGGTTCAGAAAATGCATGCACTTTCTTATGGTCGTGCAGCCAGGGACGGTGGAGCAGTGACTGGAACTTGTCATCTTGTGTTGGCCAAACAGTCATAATCTTACATTGGCCTTCCCCTGTGATCCCAGGACAGTGATGGATCAGTGGTGATGCAAACATGGGCTCTTGGAAGACTCTAGGGAGTTGTGTGTAGGGCTTGGATGGTCACTGTGGAGCTATTTCCCTCTGCACGGGCCTGAGAGGGGCTGTCCGCATCCTGAAGTTGCACAGTGTGGCCTGGATGGTCTCATCTTCCTGGAATTCCAAGAGGAAGAAGGCCAAAAGCTTCACCATCCTGCCTTGTCTGCAAATGTGGGCATTCCAGTGCCAGTAGACTCCCCAGAAAGACCCTGCCCATGCCTTGGGCACATCTCCAGAGAGGCCCAGGCCCTCACCACAGCTCTCCAACTAGCCATGCCTGCTGCCCACAGACAATGCCCCTCTGTGGGGCACATGGGTTTGGTGCCAGGCTGAGCCTGCGGCAACCCCTGCTTCCTGTGCTTGGCTCAGAGGATGCTCACGTGCCTGTACGTCCCTGGCACCTGAAGGCCACACACTTGGAACCTGCAGCTGCCTGCAGTGCCACAGTCTCCTCAGCCTGCTAGTGGTCTGAGCTTCATTTCTCCCATGTCCAGCCTCTTTCTTGTGTTGTTTTCATCCCGGATCAGCTTTCCTGCTCCCCCCAGGGGATACTTGAATATCTACACGAGGGAGCCAGCCAGGCTCAGCGTGGAGCATTTCTTTGTCTAGAGAACAACTGCTGTCCATGGAAGCTGGGGTTGCAGGGAGAGAGCTCCATGTTAAGTCAAAGCTGGGTACCCAGACCCAGCAAGCAGGCAGAATGGAAAAGGCCATCTTCTTCTGTAATCACCACACTAAGGCCCAGAGCAGAGAATGTAAAAGTGTCAGGATTCCTTTTCTCAGGTGAGAGAGGATCTGGAAGAAGGTTGAGGACCTGCCCAAGTTCCTTCAGCCCCAAAGCAGGGGCCAGAGTGTGGCCTCAGCTCTGTCCAGATTTAACTGTGCTCTGAGTTTCTGGCCCAGTTGAGATGAGTGAGCATCCTCTCCTGGGAAGATTGACCATGCAAAAAAACAGAGAGGGTTTCTGGCAGGATTGGGAAGATGGAAATCAGGAGAATTCACCAACCGTTGCTGGCTCAAAAGAAAGAAGGAAGCAAGAATAACAGGCTCAAATCCTCCGAGTATAAAGGCTCTTTTTGGCCCAAAGAGGCTGCATCGGCATGGCAGAAACACATCACTCTTGTGCCCATTCCAGTTGTCTGGAATGGCTGTTGAAGTCCCTCCAGGGTCTTGCCCGAGCAGAGGAGGGTGTGATTGATTAGCAATGTTGTTCCAAGCAGTATGGTCACCAGGTCCTTGCTGTGTCCCTCTGAGCTCCCTGGCAAAGATTATGGATTCTCTTGTAAAATCTTGAAGAGTTTGGAGAAAACCAACTGGTGGCTTGGTGTTTGCCACTGTCTCGGGGTTGACTTTGTATAAATCAGTTCTCATCTCTGACCTCTCTCCCCACCTGTTGGGCTGTGGGTTGGAGGTGGTGGGCTGGATCTGCTGACCTCAGTGTACCGCTCAGCAGTCACAGTGTGGCAGGGCTGGGCTGTGCCTATGGTTGTGCATGGTGGCAGCACCTCATAGCCTCCCTGCCCTGCAGTGGGACCAACCTCAGGGTTCGGCAGCAGGGGATTATTAAATAGAACTGCGCTGCCAGGCAGCCCATACAGAGCAGTGTGGAGAGACTGAAGCAAGTCAAAAGGGAAACTGTTCCCTTTATATTTTAATACACTTTTTTCACCTAGAAAACATTCCGGAGTAAAATCCACACAAAGTAAAATGCTTATTTTTTTTTCCCCTTGGGATTTTTCTAGGTGACTTTTACCACCTTCTTGGTATTTTTCAGAAGTAAAAGAATTTTACCCTGAATACATTTTTTTGAATCAGCAAACATTCTCACTTAATGGCTTGAAAATGAGTCAACAGAGGTTGGGCCCAGTTAGGGGAGGGGAAGAAGCCTCACTCCTCCCCAGTTCTGACCCTGCCCCCACTTGTATGGGACCTCACCCCCCCCCCCCGCCCCGATTCTGACGATGGAATTGCTGATAGCAGCCACAAAGACATTGTCACATAAGTTCCGGAACCCTAGGGACAGAAAGAAAGAAATGAATTCTAGAAACTTCCGGGCATAATCCCTCTTTTGTGGGACAGGGATAGATTAAACCCAATGCAAACAAAGAGTGGCTGAGCCAGGCACTGTGCTGGCTCTGGGTGAGGGACAGGGACTGGGTCCCTGCCCTCACAGGGTGCACAGGTGCACTAAGCAATTTCAGATGAGGCCTCAGGCAGTGGTCGTGCTGTGATTTCCATCCACAGGGGGAAGCACTGATTGGTGGGAGGTTAGCTAAGTGTAGCAGGTGCACTACCAATGGGAGTGACATGGCTTCCACTGTAGCAAGCTGGGAAACTGATGGGTCATCAGGGAGAGTGACATAGGAATAATTATCAGGGCAGATGAGCGGAGCAACCCCAGAGTGTGGGACCCCACAGGCAAGTGTATCCAAGGGTACACTTGTAGTGCGATCAGCATTGAGACAGAGAGCTCAGAACACCCTGTGTCTCCGACTTCCCCTGTCTCTGCTTTTTGCCTTTGATCTATTCATCTCTCTTTCTCTCCCCTCTGTCTGTCATGGCCCTGTCTCTTTCTCTCTGTCTCTCTTTCCCTCTCTCTTCTTCTCCCTTTCCATCGCTTGCTGCCACCTCAGTGGTCTAAGGTGGAACCGAGGGTTCAGCCACATGACAGCAGCTTGAGGCTGACGTGGAGCGGAGCCTGGGATGGGGACAGGGCTCTTCCTGTGTGCATTTCTGTCCTCACAGTTGCTCTTGTTACTGCTATTGCACGTTCCCAAATGAAAAGGGACAAACTTTAAACAAAGCCCAGGGATGGCCACCTGTCCTTAGAAGTGGGCGGCCACCATCTATGTGGGAGGCATAGGAAAAGAGAGGGCTCCTGAGATATAAGGATCCCTATTAGATGGGGTATTACTGGATTAGGTCTCTGGGGTAACTGAGTCTCTCAATTTGGAGCCTTAGTTTGGGGATGCCCTGAAGTGTAGCCTCATCTCCCCTCTGATGTCCACCATTGAAGACAGACTCTCAGGGCTGCTTCTTACTGACCCTCTCTAGGCCATGAGAGCAGGGGAGATCCCATCCCTGCAGCCTGAGCCCTTAGGGCATGTGTGGTCTTGGGGTCCCTCCTCAATATTTTACCTTGGACTCACTGAGTTTCTTTAAAAAGTCAGGACTGGTGAGATGGAGATGCAGTCAGACAATGGGTGGCTAATTAGTCAACACATGTGCCTTGCACCCTTTTGCCACATAGTTCTGGGTGCCTTGGACAGGGCAAACAGAGCAGCCCTTGCCTTCCAGGGCTCAGACTACTCCAGGGAGACAGTGAGCTGGAAATTGATGTGCTAGAGTGAAGTCACAGAGCCGTTGTCTCAGTCATGGGGACACTGAACAAAAAAGAACACACATGGACCACGGAAGAGACCATTGGCACCAAGAAGGCATGAAGGTTTATGAGGTCTCAGCCCACCTGGAGGGACTGGATGCCCTCAACATCTGC